TAATCCGAAAATCCGTTACAGGTGAGGTGGACGCTTCTACATACGGGGCATTGGAGCCATCTCTCACAAGCGCGCACGATCCCCACTCAAGGCTCTTCCGTGCGCCTATTACCCCGACAAACTTAGCCAGCCGAACAGAATACGACGTCGGAAACGAGAACTGTGGCCATAAAGGCAGTTGGAGGAGTGGGTCATTGGGAGGGAGCTAAACACCGTGGGGTTGTGATTTCTAACTGACCACAAGAATTGGAATAATTGCGATGCTGCCAAGAGACTGAATCACAGACAAGCGAGGGGTGGGTTCTCTTCTGTACACGATTTGACTTCCACCGTTACCTCGTCCCGGTTCCAAGAACACCAAAGCAGACGCATTATCACGCCAACACGAACGGGTAGTTCCCACTGGAACAAGGAAACCTGCTCATGGAATAAATCGTGGCCCTATTCAGTGGGATATCATGACGAGCTCACCCAGGCCAATTCACAACGACCTCTCCGAATGCCCACCCTAACAAAACTTTTGTACCTGGATCTTTTCAGAAAGTGCTACAGCAAGTTCACTCCGTACTAGCTCGGTATCTGAAATCGCTGCCACGTTTCCCTGCTTTCGAAACAGCTTTTGGTGGCAAACTGCGGGAAGACCACAATAAAATTCATTAAAGAATGCACCCCTGAAACACAAGCAACATCTCAGAAACTACCATCGCGGCCTACTGCAAACCACTGCCAGTTCCCACGACATGGTCCCATTTGAATAGGAATTGCTTACGATTTCCCCAGTCCAATGGGAACACCCACAATACTCACTGTCAAGATCGCTTCTCCACGGGCCTGCCCGGTTGATTCATTCCCCAAACTGCCCACAGCTTGGAAACAGCCGAACTCATGTGCACCTTGTGTTTGCTCTATGGCCTGCTGAGGGACCATTCGTGCGGACCGGGGCACCCAAATCACATCCAGGTATGGTCAGATTTTCCACACAACTCCAACATCAACATTGCCTCACTTCAGGATATCACAACACCCAAAATCTAATGGTCAGACAGAACGCCTCAATCAGGAGATCACCCGGTTTCTTCAGAGGCCTACTGTCATAGAACCAAGGCAGAATGGAGTCGATCCTCATGTGGGGGAGTATGCACAGAAACTCACTCAGAAACCCTCCACGGTTTAACTCTATTCCAAGTGTAATGGGCTTCAAATCCCCATTTCCATGGTCAGGGGACCCACCGAGGTACCCTCTGTCAACGAGCTCCAGAGAAGCGAGGAATATATGGGTCAGGCTCACACCCATTGCTAAGTGCATGTCACACCTGGAGACAGAAGTGCAGGCCAATCGTCACCGTGCCCCAAAGCCCGAATATACTCCAGGTCAATGGTCTGGCTTTCCACTAGAGACCTCCGCCTCAGACTTCCTTGCAAGAAAACTCAGTCCCAGGTATGTAGGTCCCTTCCAAATTGTTAAACAGATTACACCAGTTTCCTTCCGTTGGCATTACCCTCTAATTATCGTATCTCTCCCACTTTTCATGTATCACTTCTCAAACCCGCTGGTGGTCCGAGAGCGGAGGAGGAGGAGCAGACCAGTGATCAGGGCCCCCCACCCATCTTGGTGGACGGCGAGGAGGCATATCAGGTTCGAGATCTACTCGATTCCAGACGCCGGGGCAGGCTCCTCCAATATCTGGTGGATTGGGAGGGGTACGGACCGGAAGAGCGATCCTGGGTTAATACAGAGGACATACTCGACCCCGCACTCATGACTGAGTTCCATAGGACGCACCCGGAGAAACCGGCCCCCCCGACCTCGAGGAAGACCCCGGCGTCGTTCGCCCTCTTCGCGTCAGGAGCCGCTCGCAGGGGGGGGGCTCTGTCACAAACGAGACTCCCGCTGTTCCTCCTGCTCACCACAGAGGGAACCCTCTCCTGAGTATTAAACCCCTGAACTACATTTCCCACATACCTGGCTCTGATTACCGTTGCACCTGACTCCCATCAGTAGACTATTTAGGTGCTCTCACACTCTCTCTCTTTGCGAAGTCTTGTTAACCCTGGTGATCATTTCTGAGCGTTTTTGCCTGTGTCTGTCTGCCCGTGGATTTACTCTGGACTGTTTTTCCCTCCTTGATTCTTTGCTGCCTGCCCTGGACTATATTCTTTACTGGACTGATTTTTGTAAGCTTGCTGCCTGCCCTGACCTTATGCCTGTACCTGGATTACGATTTGCCTTATCCCTACTGTTGTGTCTGCTGGCGATTGACCTGTTTGTACGACCCAGATTGTAATAAAACTGCAAATGGATCCTCACTCTCCTGGAGCGTCATTACAGGCGTTAATCTGGACCCTGATCTCTCTTTTGACTAACATATCTAGACTATTTAGAGGACAGCTTTTTTCCATCTTCGTAACATTTCAAAAATCAGAAACGTTTTGTCAAAAAATTATGCTGAAAAGCTAATCCATGCTTTTGTCATTTCTAGATTAGACTACTGCAATGCTCTACTTTCCGGCTACCCGGATAAAGCACTAAATAAACTTCAGTTTGTGCTAAACACGGCTGCTAGAATCTTGACTGGAACCAAAAAAGTTGATAATATTACTCCAGTGCTAGCCTCTCTACACTGGCTTCCTGTTAAGGCTTGGGCTGATTTCAAAGCTTTACTGCTAACCTACAAAGCATTACATGGACTTGCTCCTACCTGTCTCTCTGATTTGGTCCTGCCGTACATACCTACACGTACGCTACGGTCACAAGACGCAGGCCTCCTTATTCTCCCTAGAATTTCTAAGCAAACAGCTGGAGGCAGGGCTTTCTCCTATAGAGCTCCATTTTTATGGAATGGTCTGCATATCCATGTGAGAGACGCAGACTCGGTCTCGACCTTTAAGTATTTACTGAAGACTCATCACTTCAGTAGGTCCTATGATTGAGTGTAGTCTGTCCAGGAGTGCGAAGGCGAACGGCAAGGCACTGGAGCGACAAACCACCCTTGCTGTCTCTGCCTGCCGGCTCCCCTCTCTCCACTGGGATTCTCTGCCTCTGACCCTATTACGGGGGCTGAGTCACTGGCTTACTAGTGCTCTTCCATGCCGTCCCTAGGAGGGGTGCGTCACTTGAGTGGGTTGAGTCACAGACGTGATCTTCCTGTCCGGTTTGTCGCCCCCTCGGGCTCGTGCGGTGGAGGACATCTTTGTGGGCTATACTCAGCCTTGTCTCATGGTAGTAAGTTGGTTGCATGTTGGTATCGCTCTAGTGGTGTGGGGTTTGTGCTTTGACAAAGTGGGTGGGGTTATATCCTGCCTGGTTGGCCCTGTCTGGGGATATCGTCGGACGGGACCACAGTGCCCCCCGACCCACCCGTCTCATTTTTTACATTTTAGTCATTTAGCAGACGCTCTTATCCAGAGCGACTTACAGTTAGTGAGTGCATACATTTTTCATACTCCAGTATCTATGTTGCAGTAGTCTATGTGCCGGGGGGCTAGGGTCAGTCTGTTATATCTGGTGTAATTCTCATGTCTTATCTGGTGTGCTGTTTGAATTTAAGTATGCTCTCTCTAATTCTCTCTCTCTCCATCCCCTCCCGGAGGACCTGAGCCCTAGGACCATGCCACAGGACTACCTGGCCTGATGACTCCTTGCTGTCCCCAGTCCACCTGGTCATGCTGCTGCTCCAGTTTCAACTGTTCTGCCTGCGGCTGTTGAACCCTGACCTGTTCACCGTACATGGTACCTTGTCCCGGACCTGCTGTTTTTCGACTCTCTCTCTCTACCGCACCTGCTGTCTCGAACTCTGAATGCTCGGCTATGAAAGGCCAACTGACATTTTCTCCTGAGGTACTGACCTGTTGCACCCTCTACAACCACTGTGATTATTATTTGACCCTGCTGGTCATCTATGAACGTTTGAACATCTTGAAGAACAATCTGGCCTTAATGGCCATGTACTCTAATAATCTCCACACGGCACAGCCAGAAGAGGACTGGCCACCCCTCAGAGCCTGGTTCCTCTCTAGGTTTCTTCCTAGGTTCCTGCCTTTCTAGGGAGTTTTTCCTGGCCACCTTCTACATCTGCATTGCTTGCTGTTTGGGGTTTTAGGCTGGGTTTCTGTATAGCACTTTGTGACATCTGCTGATGTAAAAAGGGCTTTATAAATACATTTGATTGATAGCAAAGTGTCTGAAAACTTATGCAAATAAGCTATTTCTGTTTTCTTTTTTTTATTTAAATTTGCAGAAATGTATAAAAACCCATTTTCGCTTTGTCATTATTGGGTATTGTGTGTACTGTAGATTGATTAGGAAATGTTTTTATTTAATCCATTCTAGAATAAAGCTGTAATGTAACAAGATATGGGGAAAATGAAGGGGTCTGAATACTTTCCGAATGCACTTTAAATTACTCATGATGTAATCATAATTAGTATAAAATACATTTTGGGTCTGTACCTAGACTTTTGTGTAATAACAACAGCTATGAAAGAGATTATTCTGATTTACCTTCATTCCTCTTGGTCAGTTCCTCCACTTTGGATTTCAGCTGGACTTTCAGTTCCTCCACCTGGCTCTCACTGGCTGTCAGTCGGCTCTCACTGGCTGTCAGTCGGGCCTCCATGGCTCCCAGTTCAGTCTTTGTGTGACTCAGCTCAACTCTCTGCTCCGCCATCATGTTGCTCATCTCTCTCAGCACAGTGTGGATGTCAGGCTGGCAGGTTTGCTGGCTGTGTGTTGAGGCTGCAGCTTCAGCTCTCTGTTTGTCAGCCTGAATGTCATTCCCTCTGCTCTCTCTGTCCTCATAGTCAACCTGCTGGATCTCATTCACACTGACTCCATCTCTATCTCTGTGGACCTGGGCCCCAGACAGACAGCAGTGCAGCAACACCAGCAGAGATACAACACTCTTCATTGTCATTCCTGGATGATGATTTCCTCTTCTTGTGGTTATTTCTGCGGTTATTTTGGAGTCTCAGTTGTCCCCTTTATATCTAGTCCTCTTAAACTATGACCTGCTGATAACTGAGACACGTGTAGATATGAAGCCTAACAACAAGGTGGTAAATCAAACTGATTCACCTCATGATTACGTTTATCTGATTTCTGTGGTCCTATAATAACCATGTGACACAGCAAACAGAACAAATAATGTCTAAATGTCAATAACATGTTTATAATATAATTACCTTTACCTTTTGGTCTCATTGGTTATTACCTCATTATATAGTATTCTAATCATTAGGTTAGGAAGTGAATGAATGATGTAAAATAAAATATTTTCATCAACAAAGTAAAACAGTAATGTGCTAACTCAGCAAAATTCATATCATGATATCCAGTATCATCAAGCCACAAATGAAAGACCTTTGTCTTGTGTTCACGGATGGTGGCAATGTTTACATGTTTTTGTTGAAGGTATCAGTTGCTCACGTGTGCCAGAAATGTTTGGGTGTGTGGTTGTGAGAGAGAGCAAGACAATGTGTATGACATGCATTAATTTTTCTTGTCTTTGATGCTTGATTAACAAACAGTGACACTAGTTTCAGTTAGTTATCTACACCAACACAGAAGTTCATAGTTTCTCAGATACTTTATTAACACAAACAGTGCTCATAGTCTTCCCAGATACTTATTACTAAACACAGTGCCCCTAGTCTTCCAGATACTTATTACACAACACAGCGTTCACTGTTCGCCCAGATAATTTATTACACAACAAATGCTCACTAGTCTTCCCGATACTTTATTACACAACACAGTTGCCATAGTCTCAGATACTTATTACACAAACACAGTGTTCACTAGTTTCAGATACTGTATAACAACACCGTGCTCAACTAGTTCTTCCAGGTACTTTATAAACAAACAGTGCTCACTAGTCTTCCAGGTAATTATTAAACAACACAGTGCTCACTAGTCTTTCAGAGACTTTATTACACAAACAGTGCTCAATAGTTTTCCAGATACTTTATTACAAACCAGTGGTCACTAGTTCTCCCAGATACTTTATTAACAAACACCGTGCTCAAGTCTTCCTATACTTTATTCCACAAACAGTGTCACTAGTCTTCCAGAGACTTATACACAAACCCGGTTCACAGTTCTCCAGATATTATACACATAACAGTGCTCACTAGTCTTCCTAGGTACTTTATTAAACAACACAGTGCCTCATGTCTTCCAGTCATATTAAACCACACAGTGCTCACTAGTCTTCAGAACTTTATTACACAACACAGTGCTCATAGTCTTCCAGATACTTTATTACACACACCAGTGTTCACTCGTGCTCAGATACTTTAGTACACCACCACAGTGCTCACTAGTCTCCAGGATACTTTATTAAAACAAACACAGTGACTCACTAGGCTCAGTGACATTATTAAACAAACAACATGCTCACTGTCTTCCGAAACTTTTCTTACACAACCACAGGTTCACTAGTCTCCCGATATTATACACAACAGTTGCTCCTAGTCTTCCAGGTACTTATTACACCCCCCACACCGTGGCTCATAGTCTTCCGGTACAATTTACACAACACAGTGTTCCTAGTTCTCCAGATACTGGTATACACCACACAGTGCCTCACTAGTCTTCCAGGTACGTATTAAAAAACCACAGTGCTCACTAGTCTTCCAGTAACATTATACCACCAACACCGGTCATAGTCTTCCAGATACCATTATTACACAACACAGTGCTCACTAGTCTTCCAGTAGTTTCTCCACACACAGGTCATATTATTCCAGGTACTTTATTAAAAACACAGTGCTCACTGAGTCTTCAGGTACATTATTACACAACACAGGTCTCATAGTCTTCCAGGACCTTTATTAAACAACACAGTGCCCTGTTCTCCAGGTACATATACACAAACACAGTGCTCATAGTCTCCGGTACATTCTTACCCAACACAGTGCTCACTAGTCTTCCAGGTATTATTAAACAACACAGTGCTCACCTAGTGTCCAGGTAAATTATTACACAACAGTGCCATAGTCTGCCAGATACATTCTGACACACAAGGGTTCATAGTCTTCAGGTCCATTATTAAACCAACACAGTGTTCACTAGTCTTCCAAGTTTACATTATTAAAACACGTGCCTCACTAGTCATTCCCGTACATTCTTACACAACACAGTGTTCCACTAGTCTCAGGTACATATAACACACAGTGCTCACTAGTATTACAGATACATTATTACACAAACACAGGTTCACTAGTCTCCAGGTACATTATACACAACAAGTGCTCACTAGTTCTCAGATACTTTATTACAAACACGTGCTCATAGTCTTCAGGTCCTCTATTAAAACACAGTGCTCACTAGTATTCCCGGTACATTATTAAACAAAACACAGGCTCACTAGTCTACAGATACTTATTAACACACAGTGCTCACTAGTCTCGGTACTATTTAAACAACACAGTTGCGCACTAGTCTTCCAGGTACATTATACACAACACAGGTTCACTAGTTTCAGATACTTTATTACAACAACACAGTGTCACTGTCTTCAGGTACTGTATTAAACAACACAGTGCCTCTCGGCGCCAGGTACTGTATACACAACACAGTGCTATAGTCTTCAGTACATTATACACAACACAGTGTTCCACAGTCTGGCCAGATAAATTATTACAAACACAGTGCTCATAGTTCTTCCAGTAGTTCTTACACAACACCGGCTCACTAGTCTTCAAGGTACTTTATTACACAACACGTGCTCATTATCTTCCAGAGTACATATTACACAACACCGTAGTCAGTCTTCCAGGACTTTATTAACAAACACCGTGCTTAACCTAGTCTTCCAGTTACTTATACACACACAGTCGCTCACAGTCATTCCAGATACGTTATTACACACACAGTGCTCACTATCTTCCAATTATTACACAACACCAGTGCTCACTAGTTCATTCCCCAGGTACTTTATTTAAACAACACAGTGCTCACTAGTCTTCCAGGTACATTATTACAAAACACAGTGCTCACAGTCTTCCAGTACATTATTACACAACACAGTGTTCACTAGTCTTCCATGTACATTATTACACAACACAGTGTTCACTAGTCTTCCAGGTACATTATTACACAACACAGTGTTCACTAGTCTTCCAGGTACATTATTACACAACACAGTGTTCACTAGTCTTCCAGGTACATTATTACACAACACAGTGCTCACTAGTCTTCCAGGTACATTATTAAAAAAACAAAGTGTTCACTAGTCTTCCAGGTACATTATTAAACAACACAGTGCTCACTAGTCTTCCAGATACATTACACAACACAGTGCTCACTAGTCTTTCAGATACATTATTACACAACACAGTGCTCACTAGTCTTCCAGGTGCAGTAGAATCAATTTCATGACAGAAATTATAGAAAATCAGCATTTATTCAACACAATTTGTAGCTACAGTATAATATTGGGTAACACTTTACTTCACACCCAGTGTCAGAACATGTTATGACACGGTCATAACCATCTCATAATATGTCATAACAGCTGACACAACTTGTCATAACCTGTCATAATATGGTCATAACACTGTGACATATATTGTGCTATTCAAATCATTTGTTTCCCTGCCAAGAAGTTTCCTTTCGTTTTAAAGTTTGTTTTCTTCAATACTTTGTTGTTGTTGTAATGAATTCTTTACAGTCATGTTTTTTTTCATGATATTTTAAATAACTTGTAGAAATTACACTTTATGACACTGTCATGAAGCATTATGACCATCCTGTGTCACTTTACTTGGACTAAGAAAATACACTTTATGAAACTGTCAAGAAGCATTATGACCATCATAATCATATACTGTAAGCCAGATAAGCCTTTCACGTACAGTACAGGCCCTTATATCAGTCATCAGTCAAAAACAGGGTGTCTTGTCCTGCTCCTGAAATCTGCTCCTGTATTCATCCCAGTCATTAGTAACAGAGCATTGGGGTAGGTGCATGTCTGAAATCAATGTGTGCGCAATTATAATCATAATTGAATATGGTCAATTTAAAAAATATATAACATAAATATACTTTTATAATATAATAATATGCCATTTAGCAGACGCTTTTATCCAAAGCGACTTACAGTCATGTGCGCATAAATTTCTACATATGGGTGATCCCGGGGATCGAACACACTACCCTGGGGTTACAAGCGCCATGCTCTACCAATTGAGCTACAGAGGACCACTGTTGACTGTTGACACGTAGGCTATGGTGTAATGGAATGTATTGCCTTGTGTGGTAGGTTCTGTGGGTTTTTACACTCTTATGTAGGCGTCATAACCAGCCATAAAATAACATAATATATGTTACAACAGGTCTCAATATATATATGTCATGACAGTGTTACAACCATATTATAACAGGTTATGACAAGTTGTCAGATGTTATGACTCATTGACATGGTTATGGCCGTGTCATGACTCTGGGTGTCAAGTAAAGTGTTACCTAATATTAACATGACAAAGACAACACACCCCATCAGATAGTTTTTTACCAACCCTCTTACATAGTGAAGAGCAGATGACCACTGAAGGTGCTGTGGCGATTTGTACTATCATATATCTTCGTCCCAGCCCAGAGATGCATGTTGACCACATCTCCTACCTCCAGCACCACTGACACTCCATTAGAGGAACTAATGCCACCACTAGCATGGACAGCATATGCAATAGCTATTTGATGTCCATTCTTATGCAAGGCCGCAGCTGTAGGAACTGAACTATCACCCCCTCCATAGATGTAAAACCTGAACAGGTAGAGTCCTCTCACTGGTGCCGTGAAGATCCCTGTATCAGAACACAACATTCACATAGAAACAGCCATCAGACATGATATGAGGACAGATGATTATTAATAACTATGTTTTCAGACAGACTTATAAATACTGATGATATGAATAGGGTGTACCTGTAGTGGGGTTATAAGCATTGCCAATGTTTGAGTAGATATTTCTGTAGACCAGGGTGATTCCAGTGTTGAAGGGTCCAGTGTTTCCGTGTTGACCAGGTGCTGCTAGTGAGGCTGAGAAAGCCACCTTCCTGTCTGTGGGATAGAGATGCGTCAACACTACTTTATCTAACTGGACACTAGTTGGTGTAGATTAGACATGTTATCAACAATAAAGTCAGTCATTCAGACCATAAAAAATTAAGAAATACTGTCAAAACTCATACTTAATGTTCCTTCCATTACCTTGACTGTTTCTCTTCAGAACTTCAACATGGCTCTCAGTGATGTTAGAACGAGTCTCCATGGAGATTAGTTTCACTGCTTGTGCTGAAATCAGATGCATGAACAATAAACAAGCAGTGAGATTTAGTATATAGTGCATTCGGAAAGTATTCAGACACATTCACTTTTTCCACATTTTGTTACGTTACAGCCTTATTCTGAAATTGATTAAATAGTTATTTTTCCTCATCAATCTACACACAATACCCCATAATCACAAGGCAAAAACAGTTTTTTGGAAATGTTACCAAATTCATAAAATAAGAAAAAACTGAAATATTACATTTACAGTGCCTTGCGAAAGTATTGAACCCCGTTGGCGTTTTTCCAATTTTGCTGCATTACAACCTGTAATTTAAATGGATTTTCTTTTGGATTTCATGTAATGGACATACACAAAATAGTCAAAAAATTCTAAAAAATAAATCACAGAAAAGGGGTGCGTGCATACCTATTCACCCTGCTATGAAGCCCCTAAATAAGATCTGGTGCAACCAATTACCTTCAGAAGTCACATAATTAGTTACATAAAGTCCACCTGTGTGCAATCTAAGTGTCACATGATCTGTCACATGATCTCAGTATATATACACCTGTTCTGAAAGGCCCCAGAGTCTGCAACACCACTAAGCAAGGGGCACCACCAAGCAAGCGGCACCATGAAGACCAAAGAGCTCTCCAAACAGGTCAGGGACAAAGTTGTGGAGAAGTACAGATCAGGGTTGGGTTATAAAAAAATATCTGAAACTTTGAACATCCCACAGAGCACCATTAAATCCATATAAAAAAAATTGAAAGAATATGGCACCACAACAAACCTGCCAAGAGAGGGCCGCCCACCAAAACTCACGGACCAGACAAGGAGGTTATTAATCAGAAAGGCAACAGAGACCAAAGATAACCCTGAAGGAGCTGAAAAGCTCCACAGCACAGATTGGAGTATCTGTCCATAGGACCACTTTAAGCCGTACACTCCACAGAGCTGGGCTTTACGGAAGAATGGCCTGAAAATAGCCAATGCTTAAAGAAAAAAATAAGCAAAAACGTTTGGTATTCGCCAAAAGGCATGTGGGAGACTCCCCAAACATATGGAAGAAGGTACTCTGGTCAGATGAGACAAAAAATGAGCTTTTTGGCCATCAAGGAAAACGCTATATCTGGCGCAAACCCAACACCTCTCATCACCTCGAGAACACCATCCCCACAGTGAAGCATGGTGGTGGCAGCATCATGCTGTGGGGATGTTTTTCAGAATTGAAGGAATGATGAATGGCGCTAAATACAGGGAAATTCTTGAGGGAAACCTGTTTCAGTCTTTCAGAGATTTGAGACTGGGACGGAGGTTCACCTTCCAGCAGGACAATGACCCTAAGCATACTGCTAAAGCAACACTCGAGTGGTTTAAGGGGAAACATTTAAATGTCTTGGAATGGCATAGTCAAAGCCCAGACCTCAATCCAATTGAGAATCTGTGGTATGACTTAAAGATTGCGGTACACCAGAGGAACCCATCCAACTTGAAGGAGCTGGAGCAGTTTTGCCTTGAAGAATGGGCAAAATTCCTAGTGGCTAGATGTGCCAAGCTTATAGAGATATACACCAAGAGACTTGCAGCTGTAATTGCTGCAAAAGGAGGCTCTACAAAGTATTAACTTTGGGGGGGTGAATAGTTATGCACGCTCAAGTTTTCTGTTTTTTTGTCTTATTTCTTGTTTGTTTCACAATAACAAATATTTTGTATCTTCAAAGTGGTAGGCATGTTGTGTAAATCAAATGACACAAACCCCCAACAAATCCATTTTCATTCCAGGTTGTAAGGCAACAAAATAGGAAAAATGCCAAGGGGGGTGAATACTTTCGCAAGCCACTGTACATAATCAATTGAATTTACCACATGTGGACTCCAATCAAGTTTTAGAAACATCTTAAAGATTGACAAACCGGTTTTCGCTTTGTCAGTATGGAGTATTGTGTGTAGATTAAAGAGTACATTATTTTATTTTTTATCCATTTAAAAATAAAGCTGTAACGTAACAAAATGTTGAATAAATCAAGTGGTCTGAATACTGTATAGACAGGTGTGTGCTTTTCCAAATCATGTCCAATCAATTTAATTTACCACAGATGGACTCCAATCAAGTTGTAGAAACATCTCAAGGATTATCAATGGAAACAGGATGCATCTGAGCTCAATTTTGAGTCTCATAGACCGTGTCTGTGCCTCGATCTAGGTTGAGCAAAACTAAACATGGCGGTGTTCGCCTTAGCAATCTCACTGGAATAAAGACCTCCTCTATTCCTGTCATTATTGAAAGAGATTGTGATATCTCATATCTTCAAATAGGGCTACTTAATGTTAGATCCCTCACTTCCAAGGAAGTCATAGTCAATGAACGAATCACTGATCATAATCTTGATGTGATTGCCCTGACTGAAACATGGCTCAAGCTTTAATATTCACATGGAAAAGTCCACAGACCCACTTCAAAAGGCTTTCTGAGCCATCATCGACTTAGTGGGTTTTGTCCAACATGTCTCCGGACCTACTCATTGCCACAGTCATACCCTGGATCTCGTTTTGTCCCGTGGAATAAATATTGTGGATCAAAATGTTTTTCCTCATAATCCTGGACTCTCAGACCACCATCTTATTATGATTGCAATCACAACAAATAATCTAATCAGACCTCAACCAAGGATCATCAAATCTGTGCAATAAATTCGTACGCTGGAGGAAATCTTAATGGGCTATACTCAGCCTTGTCTCATGGTAGTAAGTTGGTTGCCTGTTGGTATCGCTCTAGTGGTGTGGGGTTTGTGCTTTGGCAAAGTGGGTGGGGTTATATCCTGCCTGGTTGGCCCTGTCCGGGGGTATTGTCGGACGGGGCCACAGTTTAGTCATTTAGCAGACGCTCTTATCCAGAGCGACTTACAGTTAGTGAGTGCATACATTTTTCATACTCCAGTGTCTATGCTGCAGTAGTCTATGTGCCGGGGGGCAAGGGTCAGTCTGTTATATCTGGTGTAATTCTCCTGTTTTATCTGGTGTGCTGTGTGAATTTAAGTATGCTCTCTCTAATTCTCTCTCTCTCCATCCCCTCCCGGAGGACCTGAGCCCTAGGATCATGCCTCAGGACTACCTGGCCTGATGACTCCTGGCTGTCCCCAGTCCACCCGGTCGTGCTGCTGCTCCAGTTTCAACTGTTCTGCCTGCGGCTCTGGAACCCTGACCTGTTCACCGTACATGGTACCTTGTCCCGGACCTGCTGTTTTTCGACTCTTTCTCTCTGCCGCACCTGCTGTCTCGACCTCTGAATGCTCGGCTATGAAAGGCCAACTGACATTTACTCCTGAGGTACTGACCTGTTGCACCCTCTACAACCACTGTGATTATTATTTGACCCTGCTGGTCATCGATGAACGTTTGAACATCTTGAAGAACAATCTGGCCTTAATGGCCATGTACTCTTATAATCTCCACCCGGCACAGCCAGAAGAGGACTGGCCACCCCTCAGAGCCTGGTTCCTCTCTAGGTTTCTTCCTAGGTTCCTGCCTTTCTAGGGAGTTTTTCCTGGCCACCTTCTACATCTGCATTGCTTGCTGTTTGCGGTTTTAGGCTGGGTTTCTGTATAGCACTTTGTGACATCTGCTGTTGTAAAAAGGGCTTTATAAATAAATTTGATTGATAGCAAAGGGTCTGAATACTTATGCAAATAAGCTATTTCTGTTTTCTTTTTTGTATTTAAATTTGCAGAAATGTATAAAAACCCATTTTCGCTTTGTCATTATTGGGTATTGTGTGTACTGTAGATTGATTAGGAAATGTTTTTATTTAATCCATTCTAGAATAAGGCTGTAACGTAACAATATATGGGAAAAATGAAGGGGTCTGAATACTTTCCGAATGCACTTTAAATTACTCATGATGTAATCTTAAATAGTATAAAATACATTTTGGGTCTGTACCTAGACTTTTGAAAGACAGCTATGAAAGAGATTATTCTGATTTACCTTCATTCCTATTGGTCAGTTCCTCCACCTGGCTCTCACTGGCTGTCAGTCGGCTCTCACTGGCTGTCAGTCGGCTCTCACTGTCTCTCAGTCGGGCCTCCATGGCTCCCAGTTCAGTCTTTGTGTGACTCAGCTCAACTCTCTGCTCCGCCATCATGTTGCTCATCTCTCTCAGCACAGTGTGGATGTCAGGCTGGCAGGTTTGCTGGCTGTGTGTTGAGGCTGCAGCTTCAGCTCTCTGTTTGTCAGCCTGAATGTCATTCCCTCTGCTCTCTCTGTCCTCATAGTCAACCTGCTGGATCTCATTCCCACTGACTCCATCTCTATCTCTGTGGACCTGGGCCCCAGACAGACAGCAGTGCAGCAACACCAGCAGAGATACAACACTCTTCATTGTCATTCCTGGATGATGATTTCCTCTTCTTGTGGTTATTTCTGCGGTTATTTTGGAGTCTCAGTTGTCCCCTTTATATCTAGTCCTCTTAAACTATGACCTGGTGATAACGGAGACACGTGTAGATATGAAGCCTAACAACAAGGTGGTAAATCAAACTGATTCACCTCATGATTACTTTTATCTGATTTCTGTGGTCCTGTAATAACCACGTGACAGCAAACAGAATGAAGATGTCAATACCAGGTTTATAATATAATTACCTTTGCCCTCTGGTCTCATTGGTTATTACCTCATAATATAGTATTCTAATCATTAGGTTTGTAAGTGAATTAATGATTTACAATAAAATATTTTCATCAACAAAGTAAAACAGTAATGTGCTCTCTCAGCAAAATTCATATCATGATATCCAGTATCATCAAGCCACAACTGAAAAACCTTTGTCTTGTGTTCACGGATGTTGGCAATGTTTACATGTTTTTGTTGTAGGTATCAGTGCTCACGTGTGCAGAAATGTTTGTGTGTGTGTGTGTGTGTGAGAGAGAGAGAAATACAATGTGTATGACATTATTAATTATCTTTCCTGTCTTTTGATGCTTTATTAAACAACACAGTGTTCACTAGTCTTCCAGGTACATTATTACACAACACAGTGTTCACTAGTCTTCCAGGTACATATTAAACAACACAGTGTTCACTAGTCTTCCAGGTACATATTACACAACACAGTGCTCACTAGTCTTCCAGGTACTTATTACACAACACAGTGCTCACTAGTCTTCCAGGTACTTATTACACAACACAGTGCTCACTAGTCTTCCAGGTGCAGTAGGATCAATTTCATGACAGAAATGATAGAAAAGCAGCATTTATTCAACACAATTTGTAGCTACAATATAATATTGGGTAACACTTTACTTCACACGCAGTGTCAGAACATGTTATGACACGGTCATAACCATCTCATAATATGTCATAACAGCTGACACAACTTGTCATAACCTGTCATAATATGGTCATAACACTGTCATGGCCCATTTATTTACACCTGTTGTGACATATATTGTGCTATTCAAATAATTTGTTTCCCTGCCAAAAAGTTTCCTTTCGTTTTAAAGTTTGTTTTCTTCAATACTTTGTTGTTGTTGTTGTTGTTGTTGTAATGAATTCTTTACAGTCATGTTTTTTTTTCATGATATTTTAAATAACTTGTATAAATTACACTTTATGACACTGTCATGAAGCATTAAGACCATCATAATCATATACTGTAAGCCAGATAAGCCTATCACGTACAGTACAGGCCCTTATATCAGTCATCAGTCACAAACAGGGTGTCTTGTCCTGCTCCTGAAATCTGCTCCTGCATTCATCCCAGTCATCAGCAACAGAGCATTGGTGTAGGTGCATGTCTGAAATCAATGTGTGCGCGATTACAATGATAATTTAATATGGTAAATTAAAAAATATATAACATAAACATACTGATGACACGTAGGCTATGGTGTAATGGAATGTTTTGCCTTGGGTGGTAGGTTCTGTGGGTTTTTACACTCTTAAGCAGGTGTCATAACCAGCCATAAAATAACGTAATATATGTTACAACAGGTCTCAATATATATGTGTCATGACAGTGTTACAACCATATTATAACAGGTTATGACAAGTTGTCAGATGTTATGACACATTGACATGGTTATGACCGTGTCATGACTCTGGGTGTCAAGTAAAGTGTTACCTAATATTAACATGACAAAGACAACACACCCCATCAGATAGTTTTTTACCAACCCTCTTACATAGTGAAGAGCAGATGACCACTGAAGGTGCTGTGGCGATATCCATCATCATATATCTTTCTCCCAGCCCAGAGATGCATGTTGACCACATCTCCTACCTCCAGCAGCACTGACACTCCATTAGAGGAACTAATGCCACCACTAGCTTGGACAGCATGTGCACTAGCTATTTGATGTCCATTCTTATGCAAGGCTGCAGTTGTAGGAACTGAACTATCACCCCCTCCATAGATGTAAAACCTGAACAGGTAGAGTCCTCTCACTGGTGCCGTGAAGATCCCTGTATCAGAACACAACATTCACATAGAAACAGCCATCAGACATGATATGAGGACAGATGATTATTAATAACTATGTTTTCAGACAGACTTATAAATACTGATGATATGAATATGGTGTACCTGTAGTGGGGTTATAAGCATTGCCAATGTTTGAGTAGATATTTCTGTAGACCAGGGTGATTCCAGTGTTGAAGGGTCCAGTGTTTCCGTGTTGACCAGGTGCTGCTAGTGAGGCTGAGAAAGCCACCTTCCTGTCTGTGGGATAGAGATGCGTCAACACTACTTTATCTAACTGGACACTAGTTGGTGTAGATTAGACATGTTATCAACAATAAAGTCAGTCATTCAGACCATAAAAAAAAAAGAAATACTGTCAAAACTCATACTTAATTTTCCTCCCATTACCTTGACTGTTTCTCTTCAGAACTTCAACATGGCTCTCAGTGATGTTAGAACGAGTCTCCATGGAGATTAGTTTCACTGCTTGTGCTGAAATCAGATGCATGAACAATAAACAAGTCAGTGAGATTTAGTATATAGTGCATTCGGAAAGTATTCAGACACCTTCACTTTTTTCCACATTTTGTTACGTTACAGCCTTATTCTGAAATTGATTAAATAGTTAATTTTCCTCATCAATCTACACACAATACCCCATAATGACAAGGCAAAAACAGTTTTTTGGAAATGTTACCAAATTCATAAAATAAGAAAAAAACTGAAATATGACATTTACAGTGCCTTGCAAAAGTGTTGAACCCCGTTGGCGTTTTTCCTATTTTGTTGCATTACAATCTGTAATTTAAATGGATTTTTATTTGGATTTCATTTAATGGACATACACAAAATAGTCCAAATTGGTGAAGTGAAATGAAAAAAATAACTTGTTTCAAAAAATTCGAAGAAATGAATCACGGAAAAGGGGTGCGTACATACGTATTCACCCCCCTTTGTTATGAAGTCCCTAAATAAGATCTGGTGCAACCAATTACCTTCAGAAGTCACATAATTAATTACATAAAGTCCACCTGTGTGCAATCTAAGTGTCACATGATCTGTCACATGATCTCAGTATATATACACCTGTTCTGAAAGGCCCCAGAGTCTGCAACACCACTAAGCAAGGGGCACCACCAAGCAAGCGGCACCATGAAGACCAAGGAGCTCTCCAAACAGGTCAGGGACATAGTTGTGGAGAAGTACAGATCAGGGTTGGGTTATGAAAAAATATCTGAAACTTTGAACATCCCACAGAGCACCATTAAATCCATATAAAAAATTGAAAGAATATGGCACCACAACAAACCTGCCAAGAGAGTGCCGCCCATCAAAACTCACAGACCAGGCAAGGAGGGCATTAATCAGAAAGGCAACAAAGAGACCAAAGATAACCCTGAAGGAGCTGCAAAGCTCCACAGCACAGATTGGAGTATCTGTCCATAGGACCACTTTAAGCCGTACACTCCACAGGGCAGGGCTTTACGGAAGAATGGCCTGAAAATAGCCATTGCTTAAAGAAAAAAAGAAGCAAACACGTTTGGTGTTCACCAAAAGGCATGTGGGAGACTCCCCAAACATATGGAAGAAGGTATTCTGGTCAGATGAGACTAAAAATGAGCTTTTTGGCCATCAAGGAAAACGCTATATCTGGCGCAAACCCAACACCTCTCATCACCCCGAGAACACCATCCCCACAGTGAAGCATGGTGGTGGCAGCATCATACTGTTTTCATTGGCAGGGACTGGGAAACTGGTCAGAATTGAAGGAATGATGAATGGCGCTAAATACAGGGAAATTCTTGAGGGAAACCTGTTTCAGTCTTTCTGTCACACCCTGGCTCTGGGACTGGGATTATGTTGAGCCAGGGTGTGTTCATTTCTATGTGTGTATTTCTATGTTGGTGTTCATTCTAGTTTGTTGTATTCTATGTTTGCCTGAGTGACTCCCAATCAGAGGCAACGAGTGTCAGCTGTTGGCTGGTTGTCTCTGATTGGGAGCCATATTTAAACTGTATGTTTTCCCTTTGTGGTTGTGGGTTTTTGTTCCGTGTTCGGTCATTGTCACTGAGGACTTCACGAGTCGTTTATTGTTTTGTTATTTCGTGTGTATGCTTTAATTAAATAAAGCAAGTATGTTCGCAACTAACGCTGCGCTTTGGTCCACTCCTTCATACGACGTTCGTGACAGAAAAACCCACCAGGCAACGACCAAGCAGCGTGTCCAGGGGCAGCCCTTGGGCTGGACATGGGAGGAAGCGCCAGGAAAGGCCCTGGCGAAAGAGGAGCAGCGTGTCCAGGAGCAGGCAGCCTGGACATGGGAGGAGATATTGGACGGTAAAGGGTCCTGGACTTGGGGGGAGATCCTGGCCGGGATGGATCGCCGGCCATGGAGTGAGACAGTGGAGAGGCGACGGAGAGAGGAGCAACGGCGTGATCAGGGTCGTCGTCGGACGGTCGTGAGGCAACCCCAGAAATTTTTTAGGTGGGGGCACACGGCATGGACGACGGGGCTGACGGAGGAGAAAAGGGGGCGGATCCAGAAGGCCACCAGGCCAGGGGTACACCGCCCTGTACGTCCTGTGCGGATGCCTCACACAGAGTGTGTGAGGGTAGGCATTCAGCCAGGACGGGTGGTGGCCGCTCTTCACTCCAGGCCTCCTATCCGTCTCCACAGCCCGGTTCGGCCTGTCCCTGCTCCACGCACCAAGCCTACGGTGTGCGTCGCCAGCCCAGTCCGGCCTGTCCCTGCTCCACGCACCAAGCCTACGGTGTGCGTCGCCAGCCCAGCCAGGCCTGTCCCTGCTCCACGCACCAAGCCTACGGTGTGCGTCGCCAGCCCAGCCTGGCCTGTCCCTGCTCCACGCACCAAGCCTACGGTGTGCGTCGCCAGCCCAGTCCGGCCTGTCCCTGCTCCACGCACCAAGCCTACGGTGCGCGTCGCCAGCCCGGTCCGGCCTGTTCCTGCCACCCGCACCAAGTCTACGGTGCGCGTCGCCAGCCCGGTCCGGCCTGTTCCTGCCACCCGCACCAAGTCTACGGTGCGCGTCGCCAGCCCGACCCGGCCTGTTCCTGCCACCCGCACCAAGTCTACGGTGCGCGTCGCCAGCCCGACCCGGCCTGTTCCTGCCACCCGCACCAAGTCTACGGTGCGCGTCGCCAGCCTGGTCCGGCCTGTTCCTGCCACCCGCACCAAGTCTACGGTGCGCGTCGCCAGCCCGGTCCGGCCTGTTCCTGCCACCCGCACCAAGTCTACGGTGCGCGTCGCCAGCCCGACCCGGCCTGTTCCTGCCACCCGCACCAAGTCTACGGTGCGCGTCGCCAGCCCGACCCGGCCTGTTCCTGCCACTCGCACCAAACCTACGGTGCGCGTCGCCAGCCCAGTCCGGCCTGTTCCTGCCACTCGCACTAAGCCAGGGGTGCGAGAAGTCAGCCTGGTAAGGCCCGTTCCTTCTCCACGCACCAAGCCAGGGGGCGCGTCGTCAGCCTGGTAAGGCCCGTTCCTCCTCCACGCACCAAGCCAGGGGTGCGAGTCGACAGCCTGGTAAGGATCGCTCCTGTTAAGTCTAGTCCTGCTCCAGCCGGCGGGGCCAGACTGGACCAGGGGCACTATGGGGGGTGTATTGGAGGGTGGTGGTCAAGGCCGGAGCCAGAACCGCCGCCGAGGAGGTATGCCCGCCCAGCCCTCCCCTGGTTTGTTTAGTTGAGGCGTGGTCGCAGTCCGCGCCTTTAGGGGGGGGGTACTGTCACACCCTGGCTCTGGGACTCATTATGTTGAGCCAGGGTGTGTTCATTTCTATGTGTGTATTTCTATGTTGGTGTTCATTCTAGTTTGTTGTATTCTATGTTTGCCTAAGTGACTCCCAATCAGAGGCAACGAGTGTCAGCTGTTGGCTGGTTGTCTCTGATTGGGAGCCATATTTAAACTGTATGTTTTCCCTTTGTGGTTGTGGGTTTTTGTTCCGTGTTCGGTCATTGTCACTGAGGACTTCACGAGTCGTTTATTGTTTTGTTATTTCGTGTGTATGCTTTAATTAAATAAAGCAAGTATGTTCGCAACTAACGCTGCGCTTTGGTCCACTCCTTCATACGACGTTCGTGACACTTTCAGAGATTTGAGACTGGGATGGAGGTTCCCCTTCCAGCAGGACAATGACCCTAAGCATACTGCTAAAGCAACACTCGAGTGGTTTAAGGGGAAACATTTAAATGTCTTGGAATGGCCTAGTCAAAGCCCAGACCTCAATCCAATTGAGAATCTGTGGTATGACTTAAAGATTGCGGTACACCAGCTGAACCCATCCAACCTGAAGGAGCTGGAGCAGTTTTGCCTTGAAGAATGGGCAAAATTCCCAGTGGCTAGATGTGCCAAGCTTATAGAAACATACACCAAGAGACTTGCAGCTGTAATTGCTGCAAAAGGAGGCTCTACAAAGTATTAACTTTGTGGGGGTGAATAGTTATGCACGCTCAGGTTTTCAGTTTCTTTGTCTTATTTCTTGTTTGTTTCACAATAAAAAATATTTTGTATCTTCAAAGTGGTAGGCATGTTGTGTAAATCAAATGATACAAACCCCCAACAAATCCATTTTAATTCCAGGTTGTAAGGCAACAAAATAGGAAAAATGCCAAGGGGGGTGAATACTTTCGCAAGCCACTGTACATAAGTGTACAGACCCTTTACTCAGTACTTTTTTGAAGCACCTTTGGCAGTTATTACAGCCTCAAGTCTTCTTGGGTATGATGGTACACGGTTGGCTCACCTGTATTTGAGGAGTTTCTCCAATTCTTCTCTGCAGATCCTCTCGAGTTCTGCCAGGTTGGATGGGGAACGTCGCTGCACAGCAATTTTCAGGTCTATCCAGAGATGTTCAATAGGGTTCAAGTCCAGGCTCCGGCTGGGCCACTCAAGGACATTCAGAGACTTGTCCCGAAGCCACTCCTGCGTTGTCTTGGCTGTGTGGTTAGGGTCGTTGTCCTGTTGGAAGGTGAACCTTCGCCCCAGTCTGAGGTCCTGAGCGCTCTGGAGCAGGTTTTCATCAAGAAGTTCTCTGTACTTTGCTCCGTTCATCTTTCCCTCGATCCTGACTAGTCTTCCCGTCCCTGCCGTTGAAAAACATCCCCAGAGCATGATGCTGCCACCACCATGCTTCACTGTAGGGATGGTATTGGCCATGCGATGAGCGGTGCCTGGTTTCCTCCAGACGTGACGCTTGGCATTCAGACCAAAGAGTTCAATCTTGGTTTCATCAGACCAGATAATCTTGTTTCTCATGGTCTGAGAGTCTTTAGGTGCATTTCGGCAAACTCCAAGCGGGCTGTCATTTGCCTTTTATTGAGGAGTGGCTTCCATCTGGTCACTCTACCATAAAGGCCTGATTGGTGGAGTGCTGCAGAGATGGTTGTCCTTCTGGAAGATTCTCCTATCTCCACAGAGGAACTTTAGAGCTCTGTCAGAGTGATCATCGGGTTCTTGGTCACCTCCCTGACCAAGGCCCTTCTCCTCCGACTGCTCAGGGCCAGCTCTAGGAAGAGTCTTGGAGGTTCCAAACTTCTTCCATTTAAGAAAAATGGAGGCCACTGTGTTCTTGGGGACCTTCAATGCTGCAGAAGGTTTTTGGTACCCTTCCCCAGATATGTGCCTCGACACAATCCTGTCTCGGAGCTCTACGGACAATTCCACCGACCTCATGGCTTGGTTTTTGCTCTGACATACACTGTCGACTGTGGGACCTTATATAGAAAGTGTGTTCCTTTCCAAATGATGTCCAATCAATTGAATTTACCACATGTGGACTCCAATCAAGTTTTAGAAACATCTTAAAGATTGACAAACCGGTTTTCGCTTTGTCAATATGGGGTATTGTGTGTAGATTAATGAGTACATATTTTTTCAAAATCCATTTTAAAATAAAGCTGTAACGTAACAAAATGTTGAATAAGTCAAGTGGTCTGAATACTGTATAGACAGGTGTGTGCTTTTCCAAATCATGTCCAATCAATTTAATTTACCACAGTTGGACTCCAATCAAGTTGTAGAAACATCTCAAGGATTATCAATGGAAACAGGATGCATCTGAGCTCAATTTCGAGTCTCATAGAGCGTGTTTGTGCCTCGATCTAGGTTGAGCAAAACTAAACATGGCGGTGTTCGCCTTAGCAATCTCACTGGAATAAAGACCTCCTCTATTCCTGTCATTATTGAAAGAGATTGTGATATCTCACATCTTCAAATAACGCTACTTAATGTTAGATCCCTCACTTCCAAGGAAGTCATAGTCAATGAATGAATCACTGATCATAATCTTGATGTGAATGCCCTGACTGAAATATGGCTCAAGCTTTAATATTCACATGGAAAATTCCACAGACCCACTCCAAAAGGCTTTCTGAGCCATCATCGACTTAGTGGGTTTTGTCCAACATGTCTCCGGACCTACTCATTGCCACAGTCATACCCTGGATCTAGTTTTGTCCCGTGGAATAAATATTGTGGATCAAAATGATTTTCCTCATAATCCTGGACTATCAGACCACCATCTTATTATGATTGCAATCACAATAAATTCTCGGACAACCCAAATATTCCTAGATGCCCTTCCAGACTCCCTCCACCTACCCAAGAACGTCGGAGTTCAAAAATCAGTTAGCCACCTAACTGAGGATCTAAATTTAACCTTGCGTAATACCCTAGATGCAGTCGCACCCCTAAAAACAAAAAACATTTGTCACAAGAAATGTACTCCCTGGTATACAGAAAATACCCGAGCCCTGAAGCAAGCTTCCATAAATTTGGAACAGAAATGGCGCTCTGCCAATCTGGAAGTCTTCCGACTAGCTTGGAAAGACAGTACCGTGCAATATCGAAGAGCACTCACTGCTGCTCGATCATCCTATTTTTTCCAACCTAATGGAGGAGAATAAGAACAATCCAACATTTATTTTTTATACTATCGCAAAGCCAACTAAAAAGCGACGATGGCTTTCACTTCAGCACTGATTAATTAATAATCGTATTTGATGAAAAGATCATGATCATTAGAAAGCTAATTACGGACTCCTCTTTGAATCTGCATATTTCTCCAAAGCTCAATTGTCCTGAGTCTGCACAGAACTGCCAGGACCTAGGATCAATGGAGACACTGAAGTTTTTTCATACTGTATCTGTTGACATATTCATGAAAATAGTCATGGCCTCTAAACCCTCAAGCTGCATACTGGACCCTATTCCAACTAAACTACTGAAAGAGCTACTTCCTGTGCTTGGCCCTCCAATGTTGAAATAAATGGCTCCCTATCCACTGGATGTGTACCAAACTCACTAAAAGTGGCAGTAATAAAGCCTCTCTTGAAAAAGCCAAACCTTGATCCGGAAAATGTAAAAAACTATTGGCCTATATCGAATCTCCCATTCCTCTCAAAAATTGTTAGTAAAAGCTGTTGCGAAGCAACTCACTGCATTCCTGAAGACAAATAATGTATACGAAATGCTTCAGTCTGGTTTTAGACCCCATCATAGCACTGAGACTGCACTCGTGAATGTAGTAAATGACCTTTTAATGGCGTCAGACCAAGGCTCTGCATATGTCCTCGTGCTCCTAGACCTTAGTGCTGCTTTTGACACCATCGATCACTGCATTCTTTTGGAGAGATTAGAAACCCCAATTGGTCTACACGGACAAGTTCTTGCCTGGTTTAGATCTTATCTGTCGGAAAGATATCAGTTCGTCTTTGTGGATGGTTTGTCCTCTGACAAATCAATTGTAAGTTTCGACGTTCCTCAAGGTTCCGTTTTAGGACCACTGTTGTTTTCACTATATACTCTACCTCTTGGTGAAATCATTCGGAAACACAATGTCAACTTTCACTGCTATGCGGACGACACACATCTGGACATTTCGATGAAACATGGTGAAGACCAGAAATTGCCTACCCTGGAAGCCTGTGTTACAGACATAACTCGGACAAAACAGAGATGCTACTTTAGGTCCCAAGAAACAAAGAGATCTGCTGTTAGATCTGACAATAAATCTTGATGGTCATTTCAAATAAAACTGTGAAGGACCTTGGCGTTACTCTGGACCCTGATCTCTCTTTTGACTAACATATCTAGAATATTTAGAGGACAGCTTTTTTCCATCTTCGTAACATTTCAAAAATCAGAAACGTTTTGTCAAAAAATGATGCTGAAAAGCTAATCCATGCTTTTGTCATTTCTAGATTAGACTACTGCAATGCTCTACTTTCCGGCTACCCGGATAAAGCACTAAATAAACTTCAGTTAGTGCTAAACACGGCTGCTAGAATCTTGACTGGAACCAAAAAAGTTGATAATATTACTCCAGTGCTAGCCTCTCTACACTGGCTTCCTGTTAAGGCTTGGGCTGATTTCAAAGCTTTACTGCTAACCTACAAAGCATTAAATGGACTTGCTCCTACCTGTCTCTCTGATTTGGTCCTGCCGTACATACCTACACGTACGCTACGGTCACAAGACGCAGGCCTCCTTATTCTCCCTAGAATTTCTAAGCAAACAGCTGGAGGCAGGGCTTTCTCCTATAGAGCTCCATTTTTATGGAATGGTCTGCATATCCATGTGAGAGACGCAGACTCGGTCACAACCTTTAAGTATTTACTGAAGACTCATCACTTCAGTAGGTCCTATGATTGAGTGTAGTCTGTCCCAGGAGTGCGAAGGCGAACGGCAAGGCACTGGAGCGACAAACCACCCTTGCTGTCTCTGCCTGGCCGGCTCCCCTCTCTCCACTGGGATTCTCTGCCTCTGACCCTATTACGGGGGCTGAGTCACTGGCTTACTAGTGCTCTTCCATGCCGTCCCTAGGAGGGGTGCGTCACTTGAGTGGGTTGAGTCACAGACGTGATCTTCCTGTCCAGTTTGTCGCCCCCTCGGGCTCGTGCGGTGGAGGACATCTTTGTGGGCTATACTCAGCCTTGTCTCATGGTAGTAAGTTGGTTGCCTGTTGGTATCGCTCTAGTAGTGTGGGGTTTGTGCTTTGACAAAGTGGGTGGGGTTATATCCTGCCTGGTTGGCCCTGTCTGGGGATATCGTCGGACGGGGCCACAGTGCCCCCCGACCCACCCGTCTCATTTTTTACATTTTAGTCATTTAGCAGACGCTCTTATCCAGAGCGACTTACAGTTAGTGAGTGCATACATTTTTCATACTCCAGTATCTATGTTGCAGTAGTCTATGTGCCGGGGGGCTAGGGTCAGTCTGTTATATCTGGTGTAATTCTCATGTCTTATCTGGTGTGCTGTTTGAATTTAAGTATGCTCTCTCTAATTCTCTCTCTCTCCATCCCCTCCCGGAGGACCTGAGCCCTAGGACCATGCCACAGGATTACCTGGCCTGATGACTCCTGGCTGTCCCCAGTCCACCTGGTCGTGCTGCTGCTCCAGTTTCAACTGTTCTGCCTGCGGCTGTTGAACCCTGACCTGTTCACCGTACATGGTACCTTGTCCCGGACCTGCTGTTTTTCGACTCTCTCTCTCTACCGCACCTGCTGTCTCGAACTCTGAATGCTCGGCTATGAAAGGCCAACTGACATTTTCTCCTGAGGTACTGACCTGTTGCACCCTCTACAACCACTGTGATTATTATTTGACCCTGCTGGTCATCTATGAACGTTTGAACATCTTGAAGAACAATCTGGCCTTAATGGCCATGTACTCTTATAATCTCCACCCGGCACAGCCAGAAGAGGACTGGCCACCCCTCAGAGCCTGGTTCCTCTCTAGGTTTCTTCCTAGGTTCCTGCCTTTCTAGGGAGTTTTTCCTGGCCACCTTCTACATCTGCATTGCTTGCTGTTTGGGGTTTTAGACTGGGTTTCTGTATAGCACTTTGTGACATCTGCTGATGTAAAAAGGGCTTTATAAATACATTTGATTGATAGCAAAGTGTCTGAAAACTTATGCAAATAAGCTATTTCTGTTTTCTTTTTTTTATTTAAATTTGCAGAAATGTATAAAAACCCATTTTCGCTTCGTCATTATTGGGTATTGTGTGTACTGTAGATTGATTAGGAAATGTTTTTATTTAATCCATTCTAGAATAAAGCTGTAATGTAACAAGATATGGGGAAAATGAAGGGGTCTGAATACTTTCCGAATGCACTTTAAATTACTCATGATGTAATCTTAATTAGTATAAAATACACTTTGGGTCTGTACCTAGACTTTTGTGTAATAACAACAGCTATGAAAGAGATTATTCTGATTTACCTTCATTCCTCTTGGTCAGTTCCTCCACTTTGGATTTCAGCTGGACTTTCAGTTCCTCCACCTGGCTCTCACTGGCTGTCAGTCGGGCCTCCATGGCTCCCAGTTCAGTCTTTGTGTGACTCAGCTCAACTCTCTGCTCCGCCATCATGTTGCTCATCTCTCTCAGCACAGTGTGGATGTCAGGCTGGCAGGTTTGCTGGCTGTGTGTTGAGGCTGCAGCTTCAGCTCTCTGTTTGTCAGTCTGAATGTCATTCCCTCTGCTCTCTCTGTCCTCATAGTCAACCTGCTGGATCACATTCACACTGACTCCATCTCTATCTCTGTGGACCTGGGCCCCAGACAGACAGCAGTGCAGCAACACCAGCAGAGATACAACACTCTTCATTGTCATTCCTGGATGATGATTTCCTCTTCTTGTGGTTATTTCTGCCGTTATTTTGGAGTCTCAGTTGTCCCCTTTATATCTAGTCCTCTTAAACTATGACCTGGTGATAACGGAGACACGTGTAGATATGAAGCCTAACAACAAGGTGGTAAATCAAACTGATTCACCTCATGATTACTTTTATCTGATTTCTGTGGTCCTATAATAACCATGTGACACAGCAAACAGAACAAATAATGTCTAAATGTCAATAACATGTTTATAATATAATTACCTTTACCTTTTGGTCTCATTGGTTATTACCTCATTATATAGTATTCTAATCATTAGGTTAGGAAGTATATTAATCATTTACAATAAAATATTTTCATCAACAAAGTAAAACAGTAATGTGCTCTCTCAGCAAAACTCATATCATGATATCCAGTATCATCAAGCCACAACTGAAAGACCTTTGTCTTGTGTTCACGGATGTTGGCAATGTTTACATGTTTTTGTTGAAGGTATCAGTGCTCACGTGTGCAGAAATGTTTGTGTGTGTGTGTAATAATGTGTATGACATTATTAATTATCTTTCCTGTCTTTTGATGCTTTATTAAACAACACAGTGTTCACTAGTCTTCCAGGTACATTATTACACAACACAGTGCTCACTAGTCTTCCAGGTACATTATTACACAACACAGTGCTCACTAGTCTTCCAAGTAGTTTATTACACAACACAGTGTTCACTAGTCTTCCAGGTACATTATTACACAACACAGTGCTCACTAGTCTTCCAGGTACATTATTACACAACACAGTGCTCACTAGTCTTCCAGGTACATTATTACACAACACAGTGCTCACTAGTCTTCCAGGTACATTATTACACAACACAGTGCTCACTAGTCTTCCAGGTACATTATTACACAACACAGTGCTCACTAGTCTTCCAGGTGCAGTAGGATCAATTTCATGACAGAAATGATAGAAAATCAGCATTTATTCAACACAATTTGTATCTACAGTATAATATTGGGTAACACTTTACTTCACACCCAGTGTCAGAACATGTTATGACACGGTCATAACCTTCTCATAATATGTCATAACAGCTGACACAACTTGTCATAACCTGTCATAATATGGTCATAACACTGTCATGGCCCATATATTTACACCTGTTGTGACTTATATTGTGCTATTCAAATAATTTGTTTCCCTGCCAAGAAGTTTCCTTTCGTTTTAAAGTTTGTTTTCTTCAATACTTTGTTGTTGTTGTACAGTCATGTTCTTTTTCATGATATTTTAAATAACTTGTAGAAATTACACTTTATGACACTGTCATGAAGCATTATGACCATCCTGTGTCACTTTACTTGGACTAAGAAAATACACTTTATGACACTGTCAAGAAGCATTATGACCATCCTGTGTCATTTTACTTGGACTAAGAAAATACACTTTATGACACTGTCAAGAAGCATTATGACCATCCTGTGTCACTTTACTTGGACTAAGAAAATACCTTTATGACACTGTCAAGAAGCATTATGACCATCCTGTGTCATTTTACTTGGACTAAGAAAATACACTTTATGACACTGTCAAGAAGCATTATGACCATCCTGTGTCACTTTACTTGGACTAAGAAAATACACTTTATGACACTGTCAAGAAGCATTATTACCATCATAATCATATACTGTAAGCCAGATAGGCCTATCACGTACAGTACAGGCCCTTATATCAGTCATCAGTCACAAAGAGGGTGTCTTGTCCTGCTCATGAAATCTGCTCCTGCATTCATCCCAGTCATTAGTAACAGAGCATTGGGGTAGGTGCATGTCTGAAATCAATGTGTGCGCAATTATAATCATAATTGAATATGGTCAATTAAAAAAATATATAACATAAATATACTGTTATAATAAAATAATATGCCATTTAGCAGACACTTTTATCCAAAGCGTCTTACAGTCATGTGCGCATACATTTTTACATATGGGTGGTCCCGGGGATCGAACACACTACCCTGGGGTTACAAGCACCATGCTCTACCAATTGAGCTACAGAGGACCACTGTTGCCTGTTGACACGTAGGCTATGGTGTAATGGAATGTATTGCCTTGTGTGGTAGGTTCTGTGGGTTTTTACACTCTTATGTAGGCGTCATAACCAGCCATAAAATAACGTAATATATGTTACAACAGGTCTCCTATATATATGTGTCATGACAGTGTTACAACCATATTATAACAGGTTATGAAAAGTTGTCAGATGTTATGACTCATTGACATGGTTATGACCGTGTCATGACTCTGGGTGTCAAGTAAAGTGTTACCTAATATTAACATGACCAAAGACAACACACCCCTTACATAGTGAAGAGCAGATGACCACTGAAGGTGCTGAGGCGATTTGTACTATCATATATCTTCGTCCCAGCCCAGAGATGCATGTTGACCACATCTCCTACCTCCAGCAGCACTGACACTCCATTAGAGGAACTAATGCCACCACCAGCTTGGACAGCATATGCAATAGCTATTTGATGTCCATTCTTATGCAAGGCTGCAGTTGTAGGAACTGAACTATCACCCCCTCCATAGATGTAAAACCTGAACAGGTAGAGTCCTCTCACTGGTGCCGTGAAGATCCCTGTATCAGAACACAACATTCACATAGAAACAGCCATCAGACATGATATGAGGACAGATGATTATTAATAACTATGTTTTCACACAGACTTATAAATACTGATGATATGAATAGGGTGTACCTGTAGTGGGGTTATAAGCATTGCCAATGTTTGAGTAGATATTTCTGTAGACCAGGGTGATTCCAGTGTTGAAGGGTCCAGTGTTTCCGTGTTGACCAGGTGCTGCTAGTGAGGCTGAGAAAGCCAACTTCCTGTCTGTGGGATAGAGATGCGTCAACACTACTTTATCTAACTGGACACTAGTTTGGTGTAGTTTAGACATGTTATCAACAATAAGGTCGTCCCAAAAAAAAAAAAAAAAAAAAAATTTTTTTTTTAAGACCCCAAAATTAAAAAAAAAGAAATTTTTTTCCTGTTAAAAACCCCTTTTTTTAAAAAAACTTAATTTTCACTTTTTCCCAGGGGAACCTTTTTGAAAAAATTTTTTCCCTTTCCCTTTCAAACTTTTTAAACCCCA